GTCGTTGGTACATCATAGAATTATTGAAATAGTCAAGGATTGGATGACTTATTAATTACTATTTCCTTATGAATGCCCCCGGGCGAACAACATGAAAAAATTGGAAAGTCTAGGTCCTACAAAGAGAGAAAAACCGATTTGATAATCTCAAACTTGGATCATTCGCACAAATATTTATCATATTTATATAGAGTCGAAATTAATGGCAAAACAACTACGATTATCGCAATGAATACAATTTTCTTTCTACGACAGAAAAAAAAAACTATGGTGATTGCCAATTAGACCTTGAATAATTCAAGTAGCTCAAGAAATTGGCTATTATATTCGACGTACTTTACATCCCAACTCAGTCTTTCATTACCATACGAATGGTTGGACGCGTGTCGCTGTTACAAGTAGCTTGAGGTTTAGCTTGCACGATCAAGCAATCTTTGTGATACTTGCCAAGGAAGATGAGCCTCTAATATACGTCTTATAATATCTTGAAGTTATATTATAGCAATTTGGAAACCAGGATAACGATAGGCGCACGAAATATTTACAAACACTAATGTGTGTACAATCAAATCTGGGGTCTTGTTAAATATTGCCCTTGGGGCACTTATTGAGTAAACTTAATGTGGAAAGATTTTGGTTTTCAATTTATTTATTACACATAATATGAAAGAGACGGTGCATCGAAAACTACAAGCTTTTTTTCAATTGGGTGTTTTTCTAATGGTCAAAAGAAAATTGTATTTATTGCTTAAAACGATATTATATAGATTTCATGGCAAAGCAAATCGATACAGAGCAAAACCTAGAATACTGCAAAACAAAGCCAAATCCAGAAAACAATGAGAATCAACGGAGTACTAGTAGGGTTAAACACACACACATTCCACAAAAATGGATCCGTCAAGCAAAATAATCGGCGGTAGATCACTGGATCTCGTATCTTCATCAGTGATGAGCACACGCTGAAAATTCCTTTTCCAATAATTACGGCGTTGACAGTTAACATTTCGCGCATAGGTTCAGGTCCTTTACACCATTGTTGTACAAAGACAACCAAAATAGGTTGAACAAACACAGATCTAACATTTGGAATAACAAATCTTCGTGGTTTAGTGAAACGTTAGAGTTTTTGCGATCACCATTGAAGCTGGAGGCGGGAGCTCGGTACATGGACAAAGCATAGGGGTATCGAATCCCCAAAATCATATTTATTAAATTCCCATATTTAGATTGGGGGAGTTCAAACTCTCAGATCTAAAATTAGACGGAAAGAAGAGAGCACCCATATCTAAATCGAGAGAGAAAAAAAACAAATAATAATAATAAAATACAAACAAAATTAACAAGAGAGGGACGGGAGGGTGAGACTAGCTCAAATTCTTCCCCCATGGCAGAAGGTTGAAGAAAACGATGGAGAGAAGATAGAGGAGGATAGAAAAAGACTTTTCCGCTCCTTTAGTCTTAATTGGGTGTTTAACAAGTGTCTTAATTGGGATTGACTACGCTTGTAAAAAGGCTTAAACTTTGTGCCCGAAGAAGCATGAGGTGCTTAATTCCCACTCGACATAATCTTTTGGGGTTAAGCCATAAAGAAGTAATCAATATTCTATTCAATTTCTCCTAATCCCGACATGAATGGCCTGCTTATCGATTAAGTCCAGGGTTTATTTGGTTAAAAAAACTAAATTACTAGCAAAGATTATTATTTAACTTTAGAACACTCATTTTAAAACCGATAAGACAGACATTGCATTGAAAATTGGAAACTTTCTTTATTTAGTTATTGAACAATTTAGTAAGGAGACTAGTTGGTTCATTCATTTTTAAGAAGAAGACTACACTTGGAGATTCCTTATTTGACCAAAGGCATCAACATTTGATTAGTATTCTCCGAGTGATTCACATATATGAGCAGTTGGAACAAAGAATTAGCCCGGTCTGACCCTTTCTTCTTTTTAATTGTTTAATTGCATGGTTGCATCCAAAAGCACATCATGTATACTTTCGAAACCTTTTCCACATTGATTTTTAGGGAAAAATTACTGTGACACCGCTCCAATTTACGAAAAGAATGCACTGGTTTTATGCAAATGGATGGACAGACCTTCTTATTGAGCCATTGCTAGATGAATTTGTGACACTACTCCAAGTAAATTAGGTGCTCCGTCAGTCCATTTATGTTGCACGTTGTGACATTGCATCAGCAAGGGTTTGTCACAAACATTTTCGGGAAAAATTAGCGGTGCCACGGTCAATTTTTCAAAGAGCATAGGTTTGAATCGCGATTACGAAAAATCAATGGGCTTCGCAATAATTTTCTTCTTTTTTTATTTCACTAGCGTCGGTCCATGTGTTCTTGAATATATGTACATTCTCTCGATTTTGATAACATCAATTTTTGTTTTCATTTTAAGAATTGCGTAGTCATTTACTTCTAACTAATTAAAACCTTCTCTCTTAACTTTTAAATAAGGGTTAATTCCACAAATGAATCCAGATCTGAGTAGCTATTTGTCATAACCCCAACTTTAAAAAACGGGATAAGTGCATTCAAAGTCCTAAAACTTGTCACGAAAGTGTAATTGAGTCCTAAAACTTTCAAAAAGTGCAAACAAGTCCTAAAATTTGTCACGAAAGTGCACTTGAGTCCTAAAACTTTAAAAAAATGCAAACAAGTCCTAAAACTTGTCACGAAAGTGCAAACAAGTCCTAAAACTTGTCAAATTAGTTCAATCAAGTCCTTCCATTGATTGTACTTTTTGAAAGTTTTAGGACTTGTTTGCACTTTCGTAACAAGTTTTAGGACTTATTTGCACTTTTTGAAAGTTTTAAGACTCAAGTGCACTTTCGTGACAAGTTTTAGGACTTGTTTGCACTTTTTGAAAGTTTTAAGACTCAATTGCACTTTTGTGACAAGTTTTAGGACTTCTTGTGCACGTACCCCTTAAAAAACACATCATAGAGATTCCCCAACTCGCGTGTCCACGTTATCATCGAAAATAGTATTCACGCATGATTTCTTTTCTTGTAATTCTTTTTATCTCAAATTGATTTTTCTTGGTAGCTGAAGCCTGAAGTTGTTCAATAAAAATTCATTTGTCAGTTAAAGAGGTCACGATCACCAATCATGCAACTCGATCTCCACTTGTGTTTTTTCCAAATTAATAACTATTCACCCTCCACGAGTTCCTCAATTTGTGATTTCTTCAAAAAAAAAAAAAATAAATTTCTTCTCTATATCTTGATTGGAGTTGAACGGTCAACGTATTAGCCCATTCAAACATCTACTTCAGAATCCCAAACTCGGTTGACTTTCTCGTTCCTTGAAAGCGGTCATCGCAACTAATTCAATTTTCATCCCTTGTTTAATCTGCAATTGTAAACAATTAATCTCTCCATCAGGAACTGTTCCTAGCCTATAAGACATAACACAGACAGCTGGCCCTCCCATTTAAATACTTATATTCCAAACATGCCTCCAAATTAGTGACAGATGATTATATGCATTGCCGGCTTAGATTGCTTGTTCAACTAAACCAGCTAATTATTAACAGTGTTATCATTATATAATTACTTAGAGAGAAAGCTTCAAAGGGCTCGATAAGTTAAATTCACAAAATATTCGTGGACGCCGGTGGTCGTGATTGCCATTGCCCTAGACAAGACCGTATAGGACTTTAGCATTAGCCTCCAAGCCGCCAAAAATGTGAACAAATAAAATATGGTGGAAATGTAAAAGGGTTAATACCACGAAAAATCCCAAACTGGTACACTTGTGACAATTTTACCCCAAACTAATTTTTTGACCACGAAAAACCCCAAAATGGTACACCTGTGACAAATTTACCCTCAATTTGTTTCCGTTAAATTTTACTGTTAAATTGCTTTGTTAAATGACACGCGACAATTGAATGATGTGCCGATTTTATGTTTTACCCTCCGTTTGTCACATGTATAGCAGTTTGTGATTTTCTTTGGTATTAATCCAATTTAATGGAAACTGACGGAGGGTAAATTTGTTGCAAATGTACTGGTTTGGGATTTTTAGTGTTCAAAATATTAGTTTGGGGTAAATTTATCACAAGTACATCAATTTGGGATTTTTTGTGGTTAAAAAATTAGTTTGGGGTAAAATTATCACAGGTGTACCAATTAGGGATTTTTCGTGGTATTAACCCAAATGTAAATTAGGCAAGAGAAATGAAGGAGGAGGATTAGCCTCAGATTAGTGTGGGGTATGACCTATGTTGACTTGAACTGAATTGATGGATTTACAGCAAATTAGGTTTTTGTCTAAATTGTGAGCATATACAGATTCATTCCATCGATTTGATTTAAGAGCATGTTGTTGCCTACAAAAGGGTGTCTCGTATCTAGGTTTCGGGTCCTAGATTTTCTAAGGTGGCTTCCAATTTATTTTTATTAGAGTAAGATGCTTTAACACCTAACTAGCTTAGGTCATTCATGACATGATCCCTCGAGCTTTTCATTGGATGAGAAATCTCATTATACTATTCGGGAGTCGATATAGTAACACCATCACTGGCTGTTAAGATTGTCACTTCATTGAAATACTTTGTGTCACTTCACTTTACAAATGTTATCTAAGGACGAGTTTTTCTCCAAATCTTACATAGGATAATTACTTTGTAGTTGTCGCAAAATCGATAGCCATTGTAGCATGTGGAATAAGTGGATTGGAATATTGGAAATTATGCGTTGTGAAGAGAAAATAAAAGAGACAATCATGACCCCATAAAAAGAAGAAGAAGAAGTTTGTGTATGAACAGGGCGTACGCCTCTTCTGTTAATCTTAATCGTTAAATCTTATGAATTCTATACTAAACCTGAAAGGACACGTTAGTTTCGATGGACTCAAGAGACATGCATCTTATCCATGCAACGACATTTTCAAATCACAACAATGAAACCGAGAACTTACCAAACATACAAAGAAAGCAATAAACATAGTCATTTTCTATTGAAAAAGGTCATCGAAATTGCCAAATATTAGGATTCATTCTGGAAAAATAAAACTTCCAATCAAAGAGTAGCAAATGGTCCCCTAGACTATGGATTTTTGTACCATTTCCTGATCCTTCCGTGGTTCACATAAGCTCTCTCACATATTCATTTTTCTTTCATAGAAGTAAAATGCTTTGAAAAGGCAAAAGTGCCCCCACAAAAAACAGAAAAACAGAATATTTGCTACATATCGGTGGAGATGGGGTTTTTACCCGGTTCTCCAACACTCTATTTATTCTGCTAGTAACTGAATTTTAGAACGTGTATTTACTCCACCGAATTCTCCAATCACAAGAGCCCATTGTACGAGTGAGACGTTTGGTCCAAAACAGGGTCAGCATTGATTAACATGTCCCAACTGAAGTCTTCATCGTTCCAAAGACACAAACTGTCGTTGCCGTTGCTATTTTCGCCGAAATCGCCACGAGTCCAGTCCATGAACGGCAACTGCAGGTCCTCAAATATGTTGTTGTCCTCCAACGAAGATGATGGTGAAGTCGAATACGAAGAAGATGACGAAGAAGAAGAAGGGACTAAGATCTCAGATGGGTCGATGAGTGGGACATCATCTGAGCAGAGGAAGCTGTTGATGGCCTCCATTGCATCATCAAACGTGCTTCTTTCTTCTTCTTTTGACTCCATCACGGTCGATGGCGACTCGAGATCGACCTTGTTGGGATCTGTCTGGGATGAAGAATCATTGGTGGATGATGATAAGGTTGGTTCTTGATCAGTTGATTCTTGGTGATGGGTCTGGGTTGTTTGGGGGGGTTGTTGATCGGTTGTGTTGTTGCTGGTGACTAATGGCTTGTGAGTGAGAGGATCAATGCCCATCTTCTTGAGCTTCTTCTTGATGTGAGTGTTCCAGTGATTCTTGATCTCATTGTCTGTTCTTCCTGGGAGCTGAGAGGCTATTTTTGACCATCTGTTATAGCACAGCAAGAATTGACCCACGAACATCAGTTTGCGAAATAGCCGCACTTTCAAAATTATTTCAACTTTATTTTTTTCTCAAATTAACATGATGGAAGATAGGAAAAGTCAATTAGCACTGTTTATACTGTTGTTTTTAAGCGGACTAGATTGATTATTTCATAGATGATGTTACATGGGACAAAATCGTAAATCCATATATCAGAAAACTTTACTTGAGCCTTTACATTGAAAAAGAGAGAGACGATTAATATCCTAATTGAGACATGTTTGCTCAGAGTAGCCTCATTGGATCAGATTTATGATTGAATAAGAAAATAATATTTCGTGTACCATATATATGTCTATATCTAAAAGTATCGAAATTATCGGTGGTCCCATCAAATTTGAACAACCCAGTTTCAGGGTCTAGATGTAAACCGGACTGCATCCAATACATTTTTGCAATTCAACTAAGCGATGGTACTTGGAGAAAAAGAGAACCGGTAATAATTCGAGAGAGAGAGAGAGAGAGAGAGAGAGAGAGAGAGAGAGAGCTGTGAAAAAGAAGAGGAAGCATGGCACGAGAAAGCGAGCTTTTTTGGGTGAACAGATAAAAGCAAGGCAATGATGACCTGTTGCCTAGTTGCGCATGGAGATCAATGACCATCTTCTCTTCATACTCGGATAAAAGCCCTCTCTTCAAGTCTGGCCTCAGGTAATTGGTCCATCTCAGCCTGCAACTCTTTCCACACCTCAGCAGTCCTGCAAATGTTCCCCATCATCATCGTCGTCGTGATAACATTACATGTTCTCTCATTTCTTTCCCACGAATAATGCATTAAAAATAATTTAAATTTCATAAACGTCCATTTTTATTCGATTCTCTCTTTTACTCATTTATGAAACAAACACTTCGCTTTGAGTCTGTGAAAATTGGGTTAGAAAGAAGGAAAAAAGAAGAAAATCTGAAGGAGGTGAAAAGCTTTAAGCCAATATGAAAAGATAATGTTTAGATTGCGATGCAGAGAGAGAGAGAGAGAGAGAGAGAGAGAGAGAGAGAGAGAGAGAGAGAGAGAGAGAGAGAGAGAGAGAGAGAGAGAGACCAGCAAGCTTGGGAACAGCTCGCCAACAGCATTGGCCATGGGTGAGGATGAAGTTGATGAGCTTCTTGTCCTCTTCAGCTGTCCATGGCCCTTTCTTTAACCCAACTTTATCACAGCATGGTTGTCTTCCCATTCTTTGGCACTCCCTCACCCTTTTTCTCTGCGATCACCCACCAAAAACCGAAAACAAGAAAACAAGAGACAAAGCTTTATTCTCTCTTTGTCGAGATATTCTCTCACCAACCCCTCCTCACCTCACCCTTTTGTTTCTATGCAACTCGAAGCAATACTTGAAAAGCCAGGCCACCAAGAAAAACTAGCAAACACACTCAGAGAGATCCCCCGCACACAGAGAGAGAGAGAGAGAGAGAGAGAGAGAGAGAGAGAGAGCAACACAACAGGATAGAATACATGGGGCACCAACCCCTTTATATACAATCAAACTGACTCTCTAGATGGACACGACTTGGTGCTCATCATTGTTAAATTTTCTATTTCGGTTTTGTTTTTTTGTTCTGGGCCTTTTCATGAGCCCTGCATTTTCCTTTTCGTTTTATATTTCTTTTCCTTCTGCGAGTGGGAAGTGTATAATTGTGACTTTGGGGACTTGTCACTAACTCAGCCAAGGGCGACGCGTAAGGAGAGCTCCGCGACGTCCACTTCAGAAAGCGCCACCTCACCCCATTCATTGCTGCAGTTTCAAGTGTGCGCGGGCGTGTCTGAGAAGCTGACTCCCCTCCTCACATCGCACCTCCCACTCATCCCATCTCCACAGGAGATCTTGTTGTATTGCTTCCCCAAGTTATTATTCTTTATTTTTTGTGCATTCAAACATCGTGGATCATTCTCTAAACATTTGTCACATTGCAGTATCAATGCTAAAGTTTACAAAAGGTGCATAGTTCCCAGTAGTTTGAGCTTATCCATATTTTCTTGTTTTGTTGCATAAACATGTTCTTTGCATATCTCATTTCAAGACAACTAGGAGAGTGACTACTCATCTACAGTAGCATTCGATCCGCTTGACGGCTGTGATTTCATGATATTCCTCTTGGAAATTATGACTTTATAGTTAAGGCACAGAGTTCGATAAGAAAGGGAGGAGAAAGAGAGAGACTCGGATTTTAATTTTCATTTCGATCTACAATAATGATCTAATATAGATTTTCTCAGCATAAGCGATTATATATCGTTATACATACACGAAAATTTGGTCACGTCACGTTAGAGAAAATGTTACAAAAATCCCATGGTAGGATTGTTTTTGTATCGATCCTATCATTTATCATAACGAGATGAGTCTAGCTTTCTCTTACAAGTTTCGGAAATTAGATCTAACCAAATGGTTCAATCAGATAAGGTATGGTCTCCGGTCCAGTTTTCATACTCCCTAGGAGATCGAACGAGTGAGTTAAGATAAAAAGCAGCGTTTGGTTGTCGGTGTTGTCCTTTAGAAATGAAGGGTTTCCGAGATCTCCTTCGACATTTCAGGGTGTTCCATCAAAATGAAAGGAATGTTGACAAGGGTTAGTTAGATCTGAAGGCACTTTGCTCTGACTTCTTTCATTTGTCTCGTGCCTTTTGAGAGGGCCAAATGCCATTTCGGTGCTCGCTTCACTTAAATTGGCTGACTTTGGCCTTTAACTTTGACTTCAGCCATATTCTTGTAAGTCCTCAAGTTCTACCGAATTTTGTGGACTGGCAGGGAAATTACAAGGAAATTAGCAGAAAAATTTCGAGGATTAATGAGAAGGTGGGGTAACTTAACTTAACACGAGTTCTGGATACTATTTGCAATAACATAAAGGAGAAATTGTTCAATCATTCCTAAATTCATTTACCAATTCAGTCCTAAACTTTTCAATTTTGTCAATTTAGTCCTTAATTATTGCACGAAATTTCAATATAATCTCTCCGGCTAATTTTAGTTGGAAATTGCTGATGTAGCGGTGTGCCACTTAAGACGGCCGGCGAAAATTGGGTCACTGATTTTTGGCGAAATTTGACCGAAAGGACTATATTGGAATTTTGTGCAAAAATTTAGGACTAAAGTAAATTAGCATCCTTACAATAGATTTGAGACTGATTGGGTAATTTATCCAAATTCTTGGCAAATTGAGATAATTTTGTTAAATTGAGGTAGTCAATTGAGGAAAATAAAGAAGCAAGGAAAATGGAGATAAATTCCAAACATTAAGAGCAAAATCTAGTTACTCCTTCGTATAGAGATCGAATCTCCACTCCTTTCTAGCGACCATATGCAGTTGAAGGGTTTTGTTCTTTCCTCTCTTTGTCGGCAAACCCTCTCATCTCCCAAAAACTTTTATCTTTTTTGAAGCTCTCCTGTAGGCTTTCATATTCGGTTTCTCAAGTTGAGAGCCTACTTAATATTTAGTTTTCTTTTTCTTTGCTTTGATTGTCTTTTCTTTTCTCTTCCTATCTATTTTGGGAGTTTGTGTGTGTGAATGAATTTCTGTAGCTGATCTTGAGTGAGCGTGGAGACCAATTCGACCATTTGTCAAGTCGACAGCCATTGAGGAGGATGTTCGTGACGTGACTCCACAACCTTTTCGAGATTAAGCCGCTCTTCTCTCTCAATTTAGATTAAGGTCTAGATTTGGGAGTTCTACTCTCCCGAACTAGATCTAAATATAGATTTGACAGTTTCTTACAAGTTTTTGCTCAATCTGTTGGTGTCTTTGCACGACGATGGTGATGAGAACATTTGAACTTAGATGCGCACCGCAAGCCGTTGCAAATGGAATATGAGACCTCGATGTGTGCTCATTACTGAATCTGGTGATCAGCCGTCAAATGTTTATAGTGGTAGATCCGTCCTTCATGGATGAGAGTGTGCTTTTAACTGTAGACTGTGATTTGTTATTTATGTCCTAGCATTTCCTTTGTTCCGCAGTTATTGAAGATTTATTAGGTTTGAAAGTCTTCTATGTAATTCTCGAGTATTATTATTATGAGAAATGAATGAAATCTTTCTTTCAATAAAAAAAAAATGCGGTTGAAGACAAAATCAGACAGCTTGAGGACGTATGACATTTTCCTCTGGACAAAAAGACCGAAGTGCGCTCGCAAAATGTCAATGATAAGGATCAATTGCATACAATGCCAACAAAAAAAATTCAAACTTAGTTTTGGTTTATATGCAAGTCCATCCGGTCAATATTCTTTATTTGCCTATTCAATTAGGATTTTGTTAAAAAAAATATCCCCAGACACTTGTGAAGCAACTAAATTAGAAAACACTGCAATTTTCATGCTTCGCGAAACATAAATAATTTGGAAAATATTTTCTGTGAAAAATGAATGATTTGGAAATCATTTTTCTAAAAATAATTGCTTGTATCGCTTAAAAAAAAGGACGAAAAATATTTTTATCGATCACAAATTTTTTTTAGATATAAATTGTTTTTGGTAAGGAAAATATTTTGTATCGACTAATTATCTCAAGCGATTTTTTTTAGGATAAAATTTTCCAAATTATTCATTCTCCGCAAAACAAACAGTGTCCCAACACACTGATTAGTGACATGTACAATCAATACTTTACAAATTGAGTATTTCCTCAATAAGAAGCATCTTGGTGCACTACTTCACAAGACTCTCTAAATCAATATATGCTTGAACTCACAATGACAAATGTTGCTAGCTCTTTAATACTTGTTTAAGATACATAAATCTTGCTAGAGTTTTCCGGTGTTCCATAAATCGGTTAGGATTTGCTATATAGATTAATATTATAGGATGGTCCAAAGGAAAGCTCAAGTTCATGCTCATTATCATAGCTAGTTAATTAGGGATAATTGTCTGAAAAGTTCTAAGCCTATTGTATGGCGGCTAATTTAGTCCCACACCTTTCAATTGTATTAATTTAGTTCTAAGCCTTTTGACAATTTGCCAATGTTATTATTCTGATCAATTTTGGCAAGAAATCATTGATATGACTACCAACCGTCCTACATGACTCGGTCAGCACTGATATAGATAATTTTTTTTAATTTTTACATAAATTTAATTTAATTTATTTTCTTTTTTCTTTTGTACTGTTAAGGGCTAAGGCCCGGCAACCCCCACCGGCCCTTAATAATAAAAAGAAAGAAAAGATTGTATTGTGCTGTTTCTGGTCTTGGCGAGTGTGTGGACAACTAGTTTCTCTGCAAATACTTTTAGCGAGGCTATTGCTATGTCAAATCATTCAATACATCAATCGCCAAATGAAACATTGAACTTACGCGAGCGCGGGTTCGATCATCGGACAATCTCAAGGACAATGTCTTTAGTTACACCATTAGTCATCTGAAGTGACAATGCGTGGATGTGATGCACGACGGGTCGTTTGGTGGAAAACAATCTCAACCCCCAAGTCCTCTTCTTTCGTAGAAAAAGGAACACAGGTTCGTGTTGAGATTGAGAAGATTAGGGATAGGAGAATCACATCAACGGCCGACTCGAGTTTACTTTTTGTCTCCTGCCTATAATGTAGGCTCTAGCAGCACTTACACTTTCTGCAACCTGCAGCTGCTGTCTCTGTTGTCGTTCTTTCTTTGAAGAATGATCGTAATCCATCGTTCTGGGAAGCCACACGCGAGACAGCAATAATTTCTGGATTTGTATAATGGTCATGAGGAATTTAATATATTAGCCAGCTGCGTCATGCTCTATAGCTTTAACTTTGACCAGCTTAGAGAAGTCGACTCCGGTAAAATCTTCTTTGTGTTTCTTTTTCACTTTTTTCTTTTGGGGGAGTAGATGCACCGTCGGTGGAGATTTGCTTTCTTTGACAACAGATACAATTAATTAACGTCATCGTCGTTGAAGTATCTACGTCGCTGGATTATGAGATTTATATACTCTTTATATACATGCGATCTTCCTCCACCTATCAGTTAAGCTTTGAATCGAATTTTCTAATAATCAAATTTCTATACGTGAAGCCAATCAAGTCTTTACACGCGTCATGAGATCAGTGGTGTTGGCGTAAAATCAACTTCTCACTGATGATAAAACCTAATCGTTAGCTTCCCAAGGAACAGAAGCTCGGAAGCTCTTGTCAGGCAGCAATTGAGAGTCACGAAACTAGAAACATGCGTCTGTTGTTAGGCAACGATCGAGTATCAAGAAATCAAAATAACCCGCTTGCCGTCACATAAGAAAAGACTAAGTGGAAATTTGATAAATAAACCAAAAGTCCCATTTGGACGAGATCAGACAATGAGTTAGGTAGTTCCTATATAGGAGGACCCAAATACTAATTTATTTCTTCCCTTTCATTTTCCATATTTGGGTAGAACCGACCCTGGTAAGCTTGAGCTCCGAAATTTTGGAAGCTCTTCTCGCCTTTCCTGCATGGACATGAAAATTTTC